GATAATTTATTACAAGACCACTTCATGGAAAATAGCAGTACCTCAAAAGTTCTAAGCAGCAAAGCACTTGTGATGTTAAAAGTAAACAGGCCTCTGTAATGCTCTAGTAATCAAGAACAAGCTAGATACTCTTGCTTTTTTCAGTACTACATTCTCAGGCATATTTGCAGAAAATCCAAACATTTAATTAGATCATCAGCAACATGTAACAGTACTGTATTTCACTGTTCATTAACATTATAAAAAATCAGGCTGCACAAAGGATTTGTGAATATACATACTGCCAAGGAAGTTATTTTATCACTTTGTGTTATCTATTTCCCTGACATTTCTTGAAGACCAAAAAGCTTTGACGGTGACCGTGATTCTAAATCTACTGATAGAACAGCTAGTCAAATTTGGATGACACACTCTTCAGGGCCACTCTCAAGGCTTTTTCACTACTAAAGCCAACAACAATGGAAAAACGAATTTGGTGGCAAATCCTGTAAGTGTGTGAAATTCAGTGTTTACTGTTTGCTACTTTTAAGTCAATGTTTATTCAATAGCCAAGAAAGCTAAACTGCTTGCCTTGATTACACAAGAAACCCAATGCCAGTACTTTGTCACTGCTTTGTTAGTTTTCTGAAACTGCTGTCTTACTGAGTTCTGTGCCTAGGGAAAAATTTAAATGATACCACTCATCAGTAAATATCACTACATCCCAAAATCTTATCTCCAGTTGCATGCCTGACATATAACAAAGTTGCTTTACTTCAGTTTAAAGGCCAGTGTGTAGATAACCTTAGTCAAAGAACTGCAAGTTAATCACACAGTTGGGCAACTGACATCATCCATAAATTCTTCTGATATATTGGCACCAGCATGCTAATTTATGTGAAGTGATGTCCATTTGCTTATTATGGACTGGAAATGGTTTCACATGAAACAAAATTCTAATGCATCATAAGGAGTTATAGCCTATGCTAATTGCTTTTGGCATATTTCCCCTTGTAACCATTTTGCCAGCTCTTAGAGATGTTAAATGCAGTTTTCAGAATGTTTCAAAACAGGTTATTTTCCCTTAAAATTAAGTACATTAACTTCACTGAGAAGTAATGAAATTTATCTTAATGCATGCATTTAAATATGCAACCACCCAGCTAAACCATATTTATATAGAATACAGTATGTGCTGGTATTTACTTAAATACAAATGGATGTTATGGATGAAGACTTATTACTAAAATCTAAATAGTAAAATTTTTGAAATTAAGTATTTAAGAACATGTATCCTACTTGGTTCATTTAGAACTTCGTAAATCTTGTAGGAAAAACAGAATTCAGGACCAGTGAACTCATTTCACCCTTACACTGAAGCTAAACTGCACAAATGTCAAGAAAAATATGAGTATGTCCTTATGTAGACAGAGTTCAAGGTTCAAATTAATTCTTTTGCAATCTGTCAGAGGATTCTTTGAATCACTTCTCAACTTAACTGCTAGGGGATCTACTGGGGATACAAGCAGGCATCACATCTATTGGTTCTGTAGCAGCAGGAGTTAATAGAAATGCTGGAGGAAAACCAACCCACTCTTCAGCCAGTCTGGCAGCCAAAGCCAACAGTTGTCTCCAGGTCAAACAAAAACAATGCCTTGAGTTAGGATAAGCAGCCTGTTAAGTGAGTGCGGACTCGTACATAATATGACTATTATTATGTAATTATATTTTAGGTCAATTTCTGTTAAATCAATTTCTGTTAAACTTAATTACATCCCTCTATGGCTTTAAACTGTGGCAGCTTCTATTAAGTTTACTTTCTCCTGGGGTTTTCAAAGTAAGGGCAAATGATAAAGGTCTGGCTACTAAATGAGGGCAGCTATTAAATAAGGACGGCTTGTATTAAAGCTGAATGGTAAAGATGTGGCTACTGGTTGAGAAAACCACTCGGTAAGGGAAGAGTCTTGTATTTAAAAAAAAAAAAAAAAGACGAGCGAAAAGGAAACAAACTTTGCTCAGTAACTCTCATAAATATCCTTACATGAAACTAACAGAATGTCCAAAGTTTCATGGCAACTTCCTCTGAAGTTTCTCTTAGAAAAAAGTGAATGGTGACTTGATATAGGCTCCTCCTTAATGAAAGAGGAGAAAATTAAACACAACCCCTGGTTCTGGTGACAAAAAAGTTAAAATATATCTCAGAAGGACTTGCAATGTGATTTCAGGTAGCTGTTGATAAATAAAAATCCTGTCAGCATTATTCTAGAAGATAAGACTGAGAACCATATATTGTAGTTCAGTTTAGAATTACATCATAATTCCAGAAAGAATACAGTTTAAACAAACTTCTGAAATTATAAACTTCTAATGTGTACTTTGGTTTGTTTGTTTTGGTTTGTTTGGTTTTTTTTTTGTTTTTTTCTGGCAGGAGGAGTTATATCACCTCGAGTTTTTAAAATTGGTCTCTCTTTTACTGTTGTTTTACTACAATCTGTGAGGAAATAGTTCCTTATTATCACTGATACTGCGCTAATGCATGTATCCTGATGAATACAGCTATAAGACAAATAAGAAAAAATGCATTATTTCACATTTCATGTTGTTTTGCGGTGTTCCAGAGATGCAAAACACTCAAAGCCAGCCTAATCTTATGTGTACAAGTGTATCAGTGGCTCCGTTCACCAACAAGTAAATGTCCATAATGCTGATGCTGGAATAAAATCCAGCCATTTCATGAAACTCACTCCTTCAATTTCAGGCAGTGCCTGGTGTTTTTTTTACCATGAACAACTCCAATATTTTTATATTCACAAAAATGTTTATGAACAATGGGGTTATACTCTCCCACATTTGATGTGATGACTGATGAAAATATGCAGAGAATCTCTCCTCCACCTTGTTCAGTATTCCTCGTAAGACACAACAGCGGGCCACCTTGGGGCCAAAGTAGTTGGCAGCAACTTAGCCCAATGACAGGAAAAATCTGTTTGGCTGAGGGCCTACACCTGATCTTCAACAAACATCTGTCAGATTTCATAAGACGAATGTTGAAGATAATAGACATATTAGTTTTCAAATATACCCCAGTGAAGAGATTACTTCAGTGATTCTTGATTGCACCTGAGAACTGATGCATTTTTAAAACCAAGATTTTAAAACCAATTCATTTTTAACTTTTTAAAAAATTTGTAAGATGGATTTTTCTGTGAACTCTGGAAAATAGAACTCAAATTAGCAGAACATCAATGTACCAGTTGCCAGGTAAGAGCTCACACAGACCAACTTTGACACAGTTTTATGTACCTGTAGTCATACTGCTTACCTTACCTGTTGAAGAAAAACAGCATAAAAGTATTTGATTAACATACCTAACCAATGCACAAGCTTTATGGTTTTTAATGACCTGGAACAAATACTAGGGAATTTGAAGAACATGTCAAAGTACTGAAAGACAAATATTTTTGTAGTCCTCCGAAGTTAGATGTACCTAACAGAGATCTATTGTGGGTGTGGGGAAATAAAATACAAAGCTCCAATCAATTTCTGTTCAGTACAGTGGGAATACCACTTGCTATCTTGTTTTGTTCACACACATGAAAGGTCAGCCTAACTGACATGTTATGAGCCATGTTCCAGGTTTAGGCAGGGAATGGAGATGAGTGATAGAACTATTATGAACAGAGAAGCAGGTTGAGTCTCTGCAGTTCATCCAGTTCTATTCATTTTAGATCAGAAAATTATGGCTTCATTTACTTTCCAAGATTTGGCCTAGTCTTCCTAGGATTCTCCATTTTCAAGAAGAGAACATATTTCAAGGACTTCAGAATGCAAAAGTACAGTTGAAGATATTACAGGTTTTTTAAGTCTGGTTTTGCTGAGTTATGGTGTAACATTCTGCATAGAATACATTTAAATGAATAGTAATGAAAGATTAGAGGTAGGCGAGTCTCAGTATTCTTCATTATATGCAACAATGTAGTGCACAAATTATAACACAATGACAAATAGGCTAAAACATCAGCTATAATTGTAGAAAACCAATAAAATTTAGCAAGCAACGTCCAAAAAGGTGGATAATTCTTTTTTCATATATAACTTGCATATGCTCTTTTCTCTAATAGTCTTCTGACTAAATTGTATTTGTCATGTGATCAAGATGACACTTCCAGAAATACTTTTTCACGAGATTCCCTCAAATTTCTACAGTTCAGAAAGCAAAGATCCGTCTCAGACTTTCTGAACAGCAAAAAATGGATGGATTTTGTCCAATATCCTTTCACTTAACATAAGAAAATAATTATCATGGTCACTCAGTATTTTATGTTTGTTTCCACTGACATCTGAAGAAAGAGTATTGAATTAGGACATCAAATATGCTAGAGGGAAGTAATTGCCTCAATTATAGAGAGCTTTCAATCTAAGCACAGAAAAAGACAAGGGATGGATAGGAAAAATAGAGTAGGAACACATAGCAACAACAATTCTAGCCAGAAATCTAATAAGCAGATTAATCTTTTCCATAACTATGAAAAGAGCCTGCTTCACTGTATCCACACCAGTATTTTTCATAATTAATATTCATAGATGGTTCATGCATGTAACTCAGATCCAAATCTGCACTTTAATTCACTGTAAATAATCAATTTTCAAAACAAATTATGAAAATATTTTTTTAAAGTCTTGTGTACACTGGAAAAATAATATAGTTCAACAAACCAGATTTAGGGCACAGTAATCTATGAGTCCTGACCATAGGTGAAGAGACAAATTTGGTCTTATTAAAATGATATAAAACCAAAGTGTGTCTAATTAATTCAAAGAAATTATTCTGGATTCATAACAGTATAAATGAGAACAGAATGTGGCACAACATGCACAGGCTTAGAATAAAGACAATGATGACTGGTAAATATATATATTTGATAATGGAGAGGATTCTACACTCAAAGAAATAGTTTAATTAGTGCCATAAAGTGTTTACAAATAAAAGAAAAGGAACCACATGAAGTTTTCCTCTTTACCTGACAATCTCGTTTTTCACAGAAATTGCTCTCAGGTATTTCTTCAGTGCATAATAATTATGGATATATTTCCGAACATAATAGCCTCGCCATCTTTTCTGAATCTAAAGAAAATAAGTATTTGCTTAGTATATTTCAAATCAACAGTTTGTATGCACTTCAAATATCTGTTGTATTTCCCCAAATTTCTCTTCCTGCAAAATATCCTTTGCCTCCTTCCTTGCATTTTGTATCTTTTTTTCCTCGATATATTTCTAAATAAATCTCCCAAATTCTATCTTCTAGTCTGTGTTACCTTC